TCATTCATTCAGTCTGATGGGCTCTATCCCTCTGTCTTTTAGTCATGGACTGATGGGTGAATTTTGAATCCTTTTGTATTTTGACAGTAGTTCTATAGACTCTTTTTTTAAAAGTGACCCACTTTGCCTCTTTCTCTGCTTGTGGTCCTTTCTTTGCTTTAGGAGTCCTGGTAGTTCAGTATCTGGTTGTTAAAGCCCTTGGTTATATTACTTGTTTACCCATCTCTGGATGATCCCTGTTCTGAGCAGAGAAAGAAGATCCACCATTAATGTTAAAAGAATGACTTTTAGTGACATCACTGTCCTTTAGGCTGTCCAGCCTTTATGGTTCTATTTTACTCAGAATCATCCAGCTGATGGTTTCCATTCAGTGACCTTTAGTTAGGACTAGTCCTGCTGATTGAGTCTTTGATAATTTCAGTTGAGATGCTTTTGATTGGTCGTAAAATGACCATATTTTCTGGAGATCAGAAGCTTTTTTCTCTTTTCTTAAGGAAAAAGATCTGCCCCACAAAAAACCTCAGTTTTAAGGATTAGGGCTTTTCCAGACTCTGGCTGCAAATGCCTGAAAAGAACAGGAAGTAATGCCTGTGGGTGATAATCAAGGTAAACAGAGGAAGTGAAGACACCTGAGCCTAGTGGAGTGCAAATGTTCCACATAAAAACATTCCACCAGTGCAAAATAATTCAGCCTAGTTCTGGCCAAATATTCTAGCTTTGTACCGCCTTCTAAAATTAAGGATCTAGACAAGGGTATCCCATCTCTGGTTTGCGTTTGCTGAGAGAGTTTCTGGGATGCAGGCATTTCAAAGCTAAACATGCAACATTCCTAGACAAACTGGATATCTGAACACCTTAGATCTAGCGTATTTAGTGCATATAAACTTTATCTTAAACGAGTCTGTATTTAAACTAAAGCTTTTTAAAATGAGAAGGACAAGTCAGATCAAATGTCTTTATCTGTGAAAAACAAAATGAAGTGGATAATTTTTTCTTGTAACTGTGCAGTTTTCAGTGGAGGGAAGAATAACATCATCCTTCGGTATTTGCAGATGATTGGTTCCAGGATACCTTCCCCACACCCACCGCCATGGGTACCAAAATTTGTGGATGCTCAGGTTCCTTATATAAAATGACTTAGTACAGTTGGCCTTCCATATTCGTGGATATAGAGGGCCAACTGTAGCGATAATCACCATTTCATGATTCTTGTAAAGAAAGAACTTCAAACTATTTGAGAAGGGGACCACTTTTCAGAAATTATAGGCACTGAATTTATTGCCAGCCAGTCATAGCTGTCCATCTGCTAATTCTCTCCCCTTAGAAGGAGCAGCTGTCATTTCAGAAATGCTACAGTAGATAATAAGATGGGGTGTATTTCATCTTCAAATGCTTAAAACAAATCCCTGGGAAGAGCAGCAACAGTTCCTCTGACTGCACAGATCTCCGATATTATTAACACAAAATGCCAACTGGATTCAGAGATTGGAAGCAAATGGATTTGCTTTAACAGGAAAAGCACTCAAGTTAGGTGTTTTATATATTATAAAAACCTGCGATTGCTTAGATATAGCGACTGCCAAAGCCTTAGGCACACACAGAGATACTCTCCAAATCATAACCCCCATAGAGCTTTGAAGACAAATACAATCATATGGGCTCCCCAAATCCACACAACCTATGTACACAAATGGAATGATTCATTGCCTCTATTGCTCTAAAACAGAAAACAAGCAGACCTAATTTTCCCCAAAATAAGAGCTTCCTTAACTTCTGTGTGTCTCACATTGGCCTAATATCCTCCAAATCTGTATATTAAGATGATCTTTGATGTGGTCCTCCTTCGCGCACTGTTTAAAAGCCCAAATTTTAATCAGCAATTTCTACTGATTATTCCTTTGCATTTTTTCTTAGCTAAATTCTTTTCTGTTCAGCCTACTGCCTCTACCCTTGGGTGTGTTCAAGTCAACTGATACTTAAAACTGACCAAAACCTCTTGGCTGGAGTTCCTAGTCAAGTCACTTCTCCCTTCCATCCACCTTTCATATAGCAACCTAGCTATTCTTGATAAGAAAAAAAAAATTAGGATGAGGTAAGGAACAAATGAATGTAGTCAAAGTTGTGCTTTGGTCTAAATGCATCCCAGAGCATTTTAGAGGTGGATGAAGGTGTAGATATACATACAGATGTGGATATAGTCATGGACACAGACAAAGGCAGAGATGGAAGCATATGATATTTCTCTATAGGGATATCTAAAAAAGATATCTCATTCGAGCCTCAAAATAAACCCGAGGGGAGGTTTGACTTATTTATTTCACATATGAGAACGTTGACTCTCAAAGAGGTCTCAAATCCTATACAGCCAGTGCTCAACTTACGACCACGGTCGTAACACGATGTGGTCGTAAGTTGAGTAGGTGATATGTACAGCTGAAATGGTGCACATGGAGATGGTAGTGCTGCCGGAAGCTGGTCTGCACTGTCGTACGCCCAGCTGGGCAACGTTTGCGCTGCCAGACACGGAGCAGTCGTGGCCAGCGATTGTGGTCGTAAAGTTGAATGGCCGTAAGTTGCATAGGTCGTAAGTTGATCAATACCTGTATCTGGTAGCAGCTGGGAGTTGGAACTAAGTTTTCTTATTCAAACTTGGGCTTCTTCTGGCCGCAGCACAAAACTTTATTTTTTCTATTCTTGGGAATTGTGATCTAAAATAATGTTTATGTAAAGTGGTAATGCATGAGCCTTCTCTATGTAGATGTTGCCCCTGAACTTGGTTTCCATGGAGCACAGGGAAAGAAGATGTAGAGAGAGTTGATACAGAATTGCTGGCTGCTGGACGCATGTCAGGCCTACATTTTCATTTACACAAACAGAAATGCTTTTAAAGGGCCTCAACTAATTCCATCACAGTTGATGTTACAAAGGAAAAAACAAATCTCCAGTGCTGATGAGAATCCAGGTCAAGGCAAGGAGAAATCACAGAGCTGTCAAAGAGAATCCTGGGGCTCTGGGATGCTGTGCCTGCAAGTGCCTTGATTTGAGAAAAGAAATTCGTTTAAACACAGCAAATGTGCTCGGGAGCTGCCTGTTCCTTTCTGTTGCTGTTGGCATTGAAAATCTGCTTCATATTTTACCTTCATCCTTGGTCACCAGGCAGAACTGATAAACTCTATTTCTAGATGTCATTGCTATTAAAAAGAGAAAGGGAAAAAAAAAGCAGGCAAAGACCAAAAAAGCCAGAGAGGCATGTGCACAAGACCTACCATTCATCAAGTCAAAATATTTTAATGGAGAAATCAGGATCAGTGATTAGTCTAAAGACTTTCAGTTTCCAGTAAGTTGTAAGAGGGTGTGACAGGCAGCAGGAAGCTAATATTTAAAGATAATTTCAGGAACATGGAAATGAGTAAGTGGTAGAAGGAGAAGGCTGAACCTTCTTTTTACCTCTAATGTTTATTGAAAACAGTGCATTTGAAACAAAACAAAACAGAAATCATATCCGACTGTATGTATAAATGCTGGGGAATTTATTATTTCTAAATTATTTACTCAATAACTTGGCAGAGTTACTATATTAGAGTTTTGATGGTGACCGAGAGACTGCTGCTGTCCCTGACCTCAGGAAGCTCCTAGTTTAATCGGGAAGTCAAGAGAAATGACAATAAAAATGCATCTAAAATGGTTTTATAAGGACTCTGATTAAGGAGGCCTCAGGATGTTATTGTAGGAAATAGGAAAAGGATGCAATAGCCTGGAAAGTCACAGAAAGTTCCCTTGCAGATTGATACCCTAAAAGTTGAAGAGGTGGGAGTGCAGGAAGATGGGAGAGTCGCAGGAAAGACCTACGTATAACAAGATAGAATGGGCGATGTATTGTGTATTGGTTTCTTAGGGCTGCAGTAGCACACTACCAGAAATTGTGTCGCTTAAAACAACAGAAACTCATCTCACATTTCTGGAGGCCATAAGTCCAGTGAAAACTGTTAGCGATTCCATAGAGCTTGGGTGCGGAAGGACAAAGGCAGGGGGCTTGGGAGGAGAGTGGGTGCTGGAGGTGATGGAGATGATGTGCTGATCCTCCAGACCTGTGGTACTTAGCTCACTGACCCTGCTGAGTAAATGTCACCTTAGCAGGACTGCTGGGAACATCTCCTGTGCAGGGGCTGCACTTGGTAATCTCTGGTGGTTGTGAGTTTTTAGGATCATGCTGCCTGACAACTCAGCATCTCAGTTTCCTCACTGTCAATGGCAGTCAATCCTCTCACTACCGGCTATGTCACTTTTGTAAAGTAACTTGGTACTTTCCAATATGAACGTCATCATTCCCCAAATGAGGGAATATATGATTTTGAGCTCATTCTTGCTCTAATACACCATGATGATATATTTGAAAAAGGTACTCTGATTCTTTTGGTAAATGTCAAGCAGTGCAAGAGAAGAAAGAGAATAAAGGTTAGAAACAAATAATCCTGGGGGGAAAGCCTAGCTCTTTCTTATGGCCTAGATCTCCAGCCATTTATTTAATCATTTCTAAGCCTCATTCTCTTCATTGGGTGCTCTAATATCTACCTGGCAGAGTAATTGAGCCAGCTGGAAATATCATATGTAACATACCCAGTATCACAGATTGAATATGACTTAATTATCTGTAGAACCAAAGAACCCATAGCCTAGAGAAATTTATTAAATTTATTCCCCATGGATGTATATAGTTGGGAACTACATTTTCCAACTTCGTCTTAAAACTCTGTTAATAGTAAGTCAATGGTAAGTCAAATATGGTTTCTAGTTCCTTTTGGGTTGTGAATAATCATGATACTTTGGAGCTTAAATGACAGATCTACAGCTTTCTGGACATCTGAAATTGATGCCAATTGGGCAGAAACCAGAGTAAAGTTTTGAATTCATTAGTTTAATTGTTTATCTTGCAGAGCTTTATTTTCTCAAGCTATTTTCTCCTGAATGTGTATTTATTTACTTATTGTTTCTTCCTGTAGCCACAGATGCTCACTGAGTGGGGAAGATTTGAACAGACAATGGCTTTCTCCCAGTGCTCATCTGCAGCCAACCATTTACCATGCCAAAGGACTCCTCTACCACCTGAGCAGCGTTGGCCGGAGTCCCGTGGTGAGTCACTTCCTTCTGCCTCCAGCTTCCTGGCTGCTTCCTTCTGCCTTCCAGGAAGCAGATTATATTCTGTCAATGAGAGAATAGACAAAGACCAAAGACCTATGTATGGCAAAATAGAATGGGGGATGCGTTGTGTATTGGCTTCCTGGGCTGCCATAGCAAACTGCCACTACTGGGTAGCTTTGTGTAAAGCCACAGAAACTTATCTCACCTTTCTGAAGGCGTAAGTCTGGGATCAGGGTGTTGGCAGGATCATGCTCACTCTGATGGCTCTAAGAAAAAATCCTTCTTTGTCTGTTCCAGCTTCTGGTGGTTGCTAGCAATCTTTAGCATTCCCAGGCTTATGGTAGCATAACACTCATCTTTGCTTCTGTCTCCTCAAGACCATCTTCCCTTTATGTCCAGAGTGTCCTGTTCTAGGAAGGATTTCAGTCATTGTACTGGGGCTTGCCCTAATTAAGTATGGCCTCATTATGGATTTATTATATCTGCAAAGACTCTGTTTCTAAATAAGGTCACATTCACAACTATCGGGGATTAGAGCTCCAATACATCTTTTGGGGGGACACAGTTCACCCCAGAACAAAGGCAAACCTCCAGTGTAGTATTCACTGGTAAAAAAAAAAAGAACAAAAAACTGGGTAAAAAAATGTTTTTTTGTCTCATATCCTGAGTCTTTGTTTTGCTGGTATTTCGGTTATTGGATAAGAAAGAAAAAGTATATACCTATTAAATAGTGTTTGGAACAAAATCCTCTAGGTGTTTATGTTCAACTAACACTTACTATATTCCAAATATTATTCTGGCACTGTCTCAGGGATTTTTGTATCTAGGCTGTTTTCCCAAGCCTCTAGTACTATACAATTGATTTAAAAAACAGACTATTTGAAACCAGAGGACTTGGCTCAAGATAATAAAGAGAAAATGGCAGCCAAGTAACTATATGAAAATGCTCATTTATTAACTACAAACTGTGAACATACCTGTCTACAAATGTGTAGGGGGACATATGTCCAAATGTAGAGTCCTAACCTAACAAACTTAAAATAAAGCGAAGAAGCTCACGTACTGGCCAAAAAATTAATCATCTCTACCCTTAACCACTTTTTGAACATCTATGTGACAAAAAGATGGTGAATCAATGAATATTTATTTTTAAAATAAATAAATATATAATGTAGATTCTTATTGAAATCTCAAAAGAGATGAACAAGTAGACTGATTTCAATGAGATCCCCCAGAGGTGTATGGCAGAGTGAGGGTTCAGTTCTGATACATTTTTCCACCTGCAGCATAGCGTCTCCTCATTACTTACTCTTGAAAGAGTGTGCTGGGGAGACCCATGACTATTCTCAGGCTCAGTGATTCCCTGGAAGGACTCATAGAACTCAGAACAGCAGTTATATTCATAATTATAGTTTATTACCTTGAGAAGATACAGATAAAATCAGAAAAGGTGAAAGTCATTCTTGGCAGAGTCTAGGAGAGACAAGGTACAAATTTCTAGGTGTCCTTGCTCAGTGGAGATGGATGGATAGTGCTTGACTCTCCAGCAACAATATCCATTGCCAACCAGGAAACCTCACCTAGCTCTGCTGTCCAGGATTTTTATTGAGAGGTCAGTTACATAGCCATCAAATATCCCACAAGACTGATCTTAATTACTCAATCTCCCATCTCTCCAGAGGTCAAATTGATATCTCATGGTCTGAAAGCCCCGCCATGAGTCACATCGTTACTATCAACCATCTGGCATGGGCCAAGTCCCAAGGTCAAGAAAGATCTGTTATCCAGCAGATTATTCTAAGATTGTGAAGTTTATTTCCCAGGAGTCATTCAAGGGAGAGAACTTATTTTAGAGTGTGCAGGATTTGAACACTCTGGGCTTGCTGAATCAATCCTTTTTTGTCTAGAAAGCAAAGTGCATTATTTTCTCTTAAGAGCTCTCGTTCTGGAAGCTCTAGCCAGAACAATCAGGCAAGAGAAAGAAAGAAAGGGCATCCAAATTGGAAAAAATGAAATCAAATTATTTCTGTTTGCTAATGATATTATCATATTCCTAGGAAACCTTAAAGACTCTCTCAAAAGACTCCTACATTTCAAAAATGAATTCAGTGAAGTCTTAGGTTACAAAATCAATGCACACAAATCAATAGCACTGCTGTATGCCAATAACAACCAGCTGAGAATAAAATCAAGAATTCAATTTTATTAACAATAGCTACAAAAAAAATAAAATAGGAATATATTTAACCAAGGAGGTAAAATGTCACTACAATAAAAACCACAAAACACTGATGAATGAAATCAGAGCTGACACAGACTAACAGAAAAATATCCCTTGCTCATGGATAGGAAGAATCAATATTTTGAAAATCACCATATTGCCCAAAGCAATCTACAGATTCAGTGCAATTCCTATCAAAATACCAACATCATTTTTCACAGAATTAGAAAAAAAAATCCTAAAATTTATATGGAACCAAAAAATAGCTGAAGAAATCCTTAGCAAAAGGAACCAATCTGGAGGCATCACGTTACTGAACTTCAAGTTATAGTACCAGTCGATAGTTACCAAGTCAGCATGGCACTGGTATAAAAGTAGGCACACAGGCCAATGGAACAGAATATAGTAGAAAAGAATATACACTCTATTCAGTAAATGATGCTGGGGAAATTGGGTAGCCACATATAGGAGAATGAAGTTGGATCCCCATCTTTCACCATATACAAAAATTAACTCAAGGTGAATTAAAGACTTAAATGTAAGATCTGAATCTGTAAACATTCTCAAAGAAAACCTCAGAAAAAAACTCTTCTAGATATAGGCAAATAATTTATGGTGAAGACTCCAAAAGCAAATGCAACAAAAACAAAAATAAATAAATGGGACCTAATTAAGTAGCTTTTGCATGACCAAAGAAATAACAGAGTGAACAGACGACCTACAGAATGGGAGAAAATATTTGCAAACTATGCATCTGACAAAGGACTAATATCCAAAATCTATAAGGAACATCAAACAAATCAGTAAGACAAAAAACAAATACTGTCATTAAAATGTGGGTAAATGACATGAACAAATATTTCTCAAAAGAAGATAGATGACTGACAAAGAAACATGAAGAAATGGTCAACATCACTAATCATCAGGGATATGCAAATTAAAACTGCAATGAGATACCACCTTACCCAGTAAGAATGGCCATTTTTAAAAGTCAAAAAACCACAGATGTAGGCGTTAATGCAGTGAAAATGGAATACTCATTCACTACCGGTGGGAATGTAAATTAGTACAACCTCTATGAAAAATAGTATGGTGATTTCTCAAAGAAATAGAAAAAGATCTACCATTTGATCCAGCAATCCCACTACTGGGTATCTACCCCAGGGAAAGCAAAGTTATTATATTAAAAAGACAACTGCACATGCATGTTTATTGCAGCATAATTCATAATTGCACAAAGACATGGAATCAACCCAAATCCCCATCACCTAATGAGTAGATAAAGAAAATACAGCATATATAAATATGCACACACGCATATGTGTGTGTCTGTGTGTATATATATATATATATATATATATATATATATATATATACACAGACACACATACATACAAATACCATGGAATACTACTCAATCATAAAAAGAATGAAATAATATCTTTTGCAGCAACTTGAATGGAACTGGAGGCCATTATCCTAAGTTAAGTAACCCAGGAATGGAATACCACGGGTTCTCGTTAAGTGGGATAAGCTATGGGTATACAAAGGCATACAGACTGATATAGTGGACACTAGAGAAGCAGAAGGGGGTTGGTGGGAGAGGAGAGAAATGAAAAATTACCTGTTGGGTACCACATATACTATTCAGGCGATGGGTACACCTAAAAGAAGTTTCACCACTATAGAATTCATCCATGCAACCCAAAACTACCAAAGCTATTGAAATTTTTAAAAAATTAAAAATGAGAATACTGGTTCTATGCTGCTGAAAATGTACAATATTTTCATTCTGACCTTTTCCCTCCTCCAGTCTTAGAAGGCACTGTACTCTCTGCAGTCTACCCTCTGGAAGCAAGCACATGACCTGCATAGCAGGGCATCAATATCATGATTAAAATTTGAAAAAAGTGTGTTTTTCTGAATAGGAAGCTTTAGTCTCTAAGAGGAAAGACAGAGAGAGAGACTTAAAGGGGAGAACTCTCTACATAATACACATTTAAACACGCATACATTCAATCCACTACAAAACAGAATTCCTCTCTGCTCTGACAACCTCTAATTGAAGAGCAGAACATTTATTTTAAAGCATGACAGGTGAAAGGCTTGTTTAAAAATATAAATAAACATTAATTAGCTATAAACATGACAGCCACAGACGTGTCTCCTGCTGGGACCATCTGAGAGGTGGGTGAGAAACAGCTGAGCACTAAATGCTGTTCACAGTGTTACAAAGCTCTCTAATGGGCTCAACATCACCTTTTAGTTACCTAGGAGGCTATGTTTAATGAGTCTCCTGCTGGCAGCAGAAGCACTGCCACTCACTCAGCACTCAGGCCTGTCCTGTACTGGGAAGATTTCCACTGTGATGAGATTAGCTGTGACTCTATCCAACTTCTGGCTCTTATGAAAATGTTTTCTGAAGCACTGGGAAGTCACTTTCTGGTGGCTAGGAAGTTCCATCTGTCCTAGGTACTCTTCGGGCATTTGCCTATTGGTGAATGGATTAATATGAATTCCCAGGACCAACAAGAATGTGGTACTGTGAGAAAAAGCAGTACCCTGATAGTGCTGAGCATTGCTGAGTACCAGACAAGTCGTTCAGTTTATAGTGAATATGGCAGTATTCACAAACTGTGTCATTCCTTCCCTCATTCATGTATCTGTCCATCCACCCACCTAGCCATCCATCATCCATTCGTCTGTTCATTCATCCATCCATCCATCTATCCATCCAATCAGTTATCCATCTACCCACCCATCTTACTTA